ACGCGATTTCAATATGTCACATATTGACAGTGGCTCACCGATGCCAATGACATAATTACCCAGCTACATTTCAGAAAGAATGCAAAAGCATTGACATATATTTTTCCTTCCTGATAGCCCGACGGGCAGGGCAGAGATAGATTTTGGTAGCCCGACTGGAAAAATCACTAGCCCCGGGACGTCGGGCTAGCAATTTTGCGAGCCCTGGTTCAGACTCTCTGGGCTGCAGTTTCTCTTCATATTAATCTTACATTAAAAAACACTCTAATCATTCCCATGACAAACAGCAGCAGATATGATCCAAGATTATTCTAAACTATACACAACTAAACTATAATCCTTTATAACTCTGTAGAGTCAGAGGAGTCAATGAATCCCCTGAATGGAAAAGCCTAGTTTTAGACGATTTATTATTTCATACTTAATCTTCACACTATGTGTTTCTTCTGTGACACAGGTCTTCAGACACAAGGCATCGAGTCTCCACAGGTGTTCCTGGTGTCCAGCTTTGAACTCCACCTGTACAACTTCTCTCTCTTACATGAGACCTTAGAGAGAGAACTTCCTGCACACAAGAGAGATGCTCTGCTGCGCGCCATGCCCAACTTCAACCCAGAGATCATCAGGAAGAAGAAACAAGCTCTGAAGTCCAGAATAAAATACTGGGCTACTCTGTCTGCAGCTGGAGCAGCTGTTCCAGTTCCTGGTCTTTCTATTGATGTTGATATTGCTGTGCTGGTTGATGTTGTCACAGATTACGTTCATGCGTTTGGTCTCGATATCTGGTCGCTGAAGAGACTTTCTGCCAGAACAGGTGTGCCATATGCTGATCTGTGTGCTTTCATCATTTCACCACTGGCTGCAGTAGAAATAAGTATACATCTCCTCATTAAGGTGATAGTCCGACTTGGGTCCGTAGCTGCATTAATTGCAGCAGAGGAAGTGTCCAGATTTATTCCAATTATTGGAATTCCAATAGCAATGGGTCTCTCTTTCACCACAACTTACAGAATTCTGAATTTGATCCTTGATAAGCTCGCTGATGATGCTCAGAGGGTGTTTGAAAGAGCTTTAGTCTGAACACATCAGTGTGAATTTGAAAGTAAAAGATGAATGAAACTTAAAAGAGTTTAAATGAAATTAGTTTAAATCATTAAATATAAATATATTGAAACCAAATCATATTGCAGCTGCATATTTGAGCCATTATCCTACTATAGCTGATGTTAATGTTCTAATAACTTCCTGTCACTGCCGGATGCTCGCTTATCATCTTGACACATCAGCAGCAGTTCTGCGACAAACTGCTCTTTTTGCAACCCCGAGCAAAACATGATTAAACTTTCACCTATAAATGATTCTCTCTGAGTGTGTGTGTGTGTGTGTGTGTATATGTCGTCCTCAAATGCTCTCTCATCTCACCCGTTGCACTTCTGACCTTTCACCAGAACAGAGGCTCATCCTTACAATAACCTAACTGAAACTATATGTACTATGTTGAATAAATGTTTTAATCAAGAACCTCTACTAAAAGCTTAATAAAAGAATATAAAAGTATAACAGACGCTCTGCAACCCTGCAGTTTCCTGTCACTCTGACTTTGGACAGAGTGTACTCAGAATCACCATAATCATCACATACACACTTAAGATTATAACAAGCATTCAAAAGCATTTAAGATTATAGATTCAACTCAACAGTTTAAAGTGGTTATAACTGCACCTATAACAAAGGCTAATTGGGTACCAAGATGTTTAAACATCTGAATGCAATATCAATACTGTAGATTATATTATTAATCTGGACAATAGCAGTAAAATAATTTCCCTAATCTCCACACTGATAAATGTATCAGAGGCCTCAGCAGGTCTCATTTCTTCTCATCACATCAATACAGGAACAAATGTGATGTTATTATTTAGATAAAACCTGCTTAGAAGAGCTTTGTTCTAATCCTTTGTCTGGTTTGGTGATGTCAGTACTCTTTTACAGATCAGGTGATGTGATAGTTACTCCTGAAATGTCGTCATCTGAGCTTCTTTTGTGATTTACTTTGTGATGAAAGTCTTTTGTTATCATATCGTGGCTTACAGCATAATACATACTTTTAATGCAGAGTGTCTGAGGATGAACAGACGTTTGGCAAAACACATCGTCAGCCAATCACACTGAAAAAAATATGTACATCAGTTACATGTAATAAAGTTACGTTTAGTCAAACTTTGTTTTCTGTTTTATAACTGCAATAAAACCTGAAGTCTTTACAGTTTTCTCATCTTAATATCACAAAATTTTTCTTTACATTTACATTTATTATACAGATTATATTTAATTACCTTATGTTAAACCAACACAATTATAATAATAATTATACTTTCTATTATATCGGTGACACTAATATTTAACATGTTTGTAATACATGTATTTGTCTTTGTAATCTCAAATTAATATGTTTACTTAAACTATAAGAATACAGAAAATACATTTATTATTGGTGGATGTCAGCTTGTCACAGGGAATACCAGAGATGTGTAAAATATGAAAATGATGCATTAGAGGAACAATATTCAGCACATTTCTGTCTTAACACTGAAAATAAGCAGACGTCCAACCTGAAGTGAAGCATGAATGATAAAGTGATTGTATACATGTTTGTGTGAGCTAGCCAATACACGTCACTGCAGACACAGGGAATATGGGCAAATATGAATTTAAACATCAGACGTTCACAAATAGTTCAGTTGTATTTTTAAACATGAGTTACTTTATTTCAGGAGCCTGTAATATCTAAGGCAGCTCATCATAATGTCAACAAGTAAAATTATTTACAAAGTCAATAAATGTAAAAGTATTTTTGATTTATCCTCATCAAATACTGAAATCTTATGTCAATCAGTCAAGCAGTCTTCAACAGCTTTGAGCTGTGAAGCATCCACAGACACACACATCAATTGTCACGGTCCTGGGCCTTTTGTACTGTGTTATTAGTCTGTCTTGTCTAGCCTAATGAGTCCCAGCTGTGTGCCCACCTGTTCCTCGTTTCCTCATGTGCCTGCAAGTGTATTTTAATCCCTGTCAGTTCTTGTTGTTGTGTCGTTAACGTCGGTTTACCCTCACTTTCACTGCGTGTTCGGTTTGTTAGCCTGCCTGTTTAGTTAGTTTTCTGCTCAGTTGCCTTCCAGCAATAAAGCTGAATGTTTTGAGTTACGTTTGTGTCCGTGAGTGCTGCATTTTAGGTCCTCTCCCTGCACACAGCCATAACATCAATACAAGCTGTTAATGATGTTGTAAACCTTACAATATTAATTATAATTACAAATATTTAGCTTTCAATTATTTTCAAATTTCTATGACAATTGTCAATGTATGAAATACTTAAATAAATCAATATTCCCAAAAAGTAGAGCACCTAAATCACAGAAGTCCCTCTAGAGCAGTGGTCCCCAAACTACGGCCCGCCTCCACATTTGACCCGGCCCCCTGAACAATATTAGAGATGCATCATTATTTTTTCAGTCTGGCCAAGCGATCGACACTAATGCACCCATAGAACACTGGGCCTGCTCGACTGAATCTCTGGAAATGTTTCCTCATGTTAATAAAGCTCATTTGATTTGAATTGTGAACCACGCTAAAAAAAAAAAGTTTGCTACTACGACCTCACTTTGACCAGAACGTGAACGTGACCCCCCCCTTTAGAACGGAATAATGGCAAAAAGGTTAGGTAAGAGAAAAACTGATTGGTATTTAACCTGCAGTGGACACACAATTATGTTTTGTTCAATGCAAAGAAAAGGCTGTTTGTCTCATCTATCAAGAGACGGTGGCGGGATTCAAAGAACACAATCTGTGCCGACATTATGAATGCCGTCACAAAGACAAGTATGATAGCTTGCAAGGCCAAGTGCGAACAGACAAAATCTCAAAGCTCTCAAAGTGGACTGTTAGCTCAGCAGACTGCATTTGTACACCAAACCAGGGGAAAAGAAAACTGACTGCCTAAGTTGGAAAACTGAGGAGTCTGAAACACTGCAAAAAAGAAACGTATACAAAATCACACACACAAGCAGAACATGCATTAACCCTACTAACACAAACACAAGAGAGCTCATGAAGATTAGACAACATCTTAAGCATGTGAGTCTGTTTATCATCTTGTCCAAGTCACTT